TTGAAATTATGAACATTGCTCAACATCATGAAAATTAAACCTTATTTTCAATAAGCAATCCTGAAAAATATTTGGGGGTGCTTAACTTTTTTCCAGGTGTATAGTCCAAAGATACTGGGCACAGTGCAATTCATTATGCCTACAAGAAGGCTTATGTTAGAAATGGGAAGATACCAGTGGAGGGAAACAACTAAAGTAGGTACTTCAACAGTCTTTATATTCTGAAGCTCTCCTTCATCTCCACAACCTTCCAATTGCGGACACTTAGGTGTTAAGAAACCTCTGGTGAGAGTAAAAGAACATTTCTATTGGGTTGGGTCCCTAGGATATTTAGAAAATTGTTATAAATTGTGTGGTCTATATTTTGAGTGAAAAGGTCCACATGTGAAACAGCATGGACAGCTATAGCAGTATTGTGTTGAAACATCATTTAAAAGAGTTGCTATCAATTTTTTTGGTCCTCTGCCACAGAGTAATAGTGGGAATAAATGCATCATGCTTGTGGTGGACTGTTTCATCAAATGGCCAAAAGCATATGCTGTTGCTAACTAGGAAACAGAAAATCTAGCAAGGAAATTCGTCAATAAATTTCACTCAAATTAGATATGGAACTTTGAACTAACCTTGTTTACAGAAATGTGTCAGATCCTTGGAACCAAAAGGATCAGGACAACAGATCTTTGTTCATCTTCTAATAGCATGGCAGAAAAATACAACCAAACCATTTTAAGTTAATTAGCCATTTATGTGGAATAACATCAGAGAATGAGGAATTAAGATCTTCCTCTGCCACTTATGAGTTACTGAATGGAATACATGAAGCTACAAGGAATACACTATCATCACTGATGTAGGGAGAAAACTTAAAAGTGCCATTGGACCTTCCTTATTCGTATCCACTCAGCAGGCTTACACAATGTATATTACAAATATATACGAATGTTAATGTTACTCTTCCCTCAATATTAAACATCTTCCTACTCCATTGTATAGTAATGGTTTCACCGTGTCATAACTGAAAACATCATAAATTTTAATTATCCTTTTAAGATTTTTGTACAATGTATGCTAGTCAGAGTTGTAAACAAAACCACCACAATTATTGTGATGATATGAAATAATGCATTGGTGGAATATAAAGAAGCATGTTTAATTGTGGTCTTTTGCATGATTTTTTAAAAGAAAAAAAAATTTTGACAGCTGAATGGCAACATATTGTAAATTCATTTTTTAAATACTAAAGAATTTGACAAGTTAACGAATTGTCTGTAATAATAAATCACAAAAATCTAATCTTTCAATACTCTGCAGAACTAGCTAAGAGATAATTGTCTGAAAGGTTAATCACAAACCTACTTTTAAGTTCCAGGAGGTATTGCCCATTTTAGATGGGGTTAATTGGGATTACAGGTGAAATATAAGCATTCTTCTCACTATAGAAGTATCTAGTCAAACATCGATTCAAAATAATGTAATGGTGTAACACATTTTTGAATTTTTTTCTAGTATACAATAATTTTCTTTTATAAACTATACAACTTATATTTAAAATTGGTTATAACAATTTAAAAAAGGTTACACTTAAACTAAGATCTCTCATTCTATGTACATATTATTAAGAAGTTACTAATAAACTGCAAATATTTCTTTCTTACCTTTAACTGTCAAATTATCAACTTTTTATATCATTCATTATTGGTGGGATCCACATGTTGCATTACACTGCTAGGCAGTAATTAAGGGGATTACTTGCAATATTTATGGTATTTCTGCTTATCTTTTTTTCTGAGTTATCCATATGTTACCTTGGACCCAAAAGCAATTTGATGCCTAAATAGTTTCAAATAATGCATTTAAAAACTCATGCAGTCTATATGAACCCCATAAATAAACCTAGAGTAAATCCATTCCACAGGTTTATCCAGTTTACTTGTTCATTAAAAAACAATCCATTAAAAGTAAAGCTTCTGAAATGGCTACTTGATATCTTGTTAACTCTTTTGAACTGCTATTACAAACATTATCATCTTCAACAACAATTTAAAAAAAAAGTTGCACAAAATGATCTTTTCAGCAATATCCTGAACTTTATAATGGAGTAAGTAAATTTTAGTCCTTGTTTTCCTGTGTACTCCATCAGTTCACTTATAGAATCACCCACTGCATAAGCATTTAACTGTGACTGAAATATACCTGCTTATGTAGATCTTAGATCATTCCAACTACAAAACTCAGCATTTTCCCCTTTTCTTCTACATAAACCTAAAATTCTGGATTTTTTTTTATTACTTTGTGGGCTAATCTGGTTTTACACACTAAACGTTATCAGCAACTCTTCCCACAACAAATGTTGACTATACTTCCTACAACCAAGCCCTGAATACTCCACTGAATACCCATGAACCTCCTAAAAACTATAGTTGATCATCTATAAAAATAGCAATCTACATCTTTATCACAGTCTAGTTGAGATGCAAAGTCTAAGTCTGACCAAAGCAGAAATATGACAAAATATTTCAAAAAAGAAACAAAAACACTGTTTTTTATTTGATAACATAATAATATGTGATACATATTTTTGCCATGTGAAAAAATGTCTATCGACAATAACTATTACTCTATGTCTGAATTCATTTATCCTTTGCAGCTACTGGTCTACATCACCAGACCACAATCTTGACAACTTCACAAAATGAAGAAAATGTTAAATCTAATAAAAAACAGACTTTGTTTAGAACTATAGTACAATTTTATATTCCACTTGGAATTCCATGAATGACACCTCACTAGGCAAGCTCTGTTAACAAAAAAAGTTAAATCAAACTTCCTCACTTCTCTCTCTCCACATATAACCAAATACTGGAAAACTTATTAAGACCAACATATCCAACAAGTTGGTGAGGTGTGAAAATGTGAATTTCCCTCAAAGGAGAACTTGCACAGTTTAAAGTTGAGCATATACTATTTATCTAGAAATTGTAACTTCATGCAGGAACCAGTAATTAAAGTTTTATAAATTGTACAAAAACATCCTAAGGTATGTTATTGAAGGATTTAGTTTATATATCTGCATATCAACTACAATGCTGTTTCAATATACCTACCATGTATATATATATTTCCTACAAAAAAAATCAAGGCAAGGCTATAATGCCACACTTACCAACAACTAAAATGATATTAACTATAGATATGAACAATAAAGTTTGAAAAAAAAAAAAGTTCCACCAACATTAATGGTGAAACAAAACTTTTATATCAAACATTAAGCTTAGGCCTTACAAAACCAGTATCCAGATGTTTGTTTTCAGATACTTATGCAAAGTTACTCAAGGGCTATATGCATCAGCTGTCCATAATTTGGAATTAATAGACTGAAGGGAAGGTAACTAGTCAACTATTACCAACTGCTGTGTGACCAAATAGTGAGTTGTGACCATACACTTGTAACGTCCATGGCTCCAAATTGCAGTGTGTAATTTTTCCCTTCTTTTTTATGGTAACAGAAGTAACTAGTTGAAATTCAATCTTAATGAAAGCCTATAATAAGTGCCCAGGGAAATTATAATACTATAAACAAGTTAAAATTTAAGCCATTTAAAATTACCCAAACTATATGAAATATAGACATGGCGAAGAACTTTTAGAGAGGATTTGGAACTGGTGGATCTAACATTTGACCAAGTGGTGGAGACTGCTCATGACAGAGGCAGATGGCGAGGTCTCGATGACCAATGTTCCCAACGGAACGGGAGGAACTAAGATTAAGATATGAAGTATTAGCAAACATAATTGTTAAAGGCACTTACAAATTCAGGTTTATCTTGAAACTCATACACTAAATCTGATTTACAATAAACCTTATTTATGATCAAGTAAAAATAATAAAGAACATAATGGATATAATATTGAAAAGCCTAAATTTCTCACCTCCATCATAGTGGGTAACTTACAATGCTAAAATGGTTCTGAAGTGTTTGAATGATAAATTTATGTAAATATATCAGTTTCTTAATCCACTTTCCTCATATTTCTGACTACTTCTTGAAATTATTTTTCATTCTCACATTGTTAGAGATATCAATACTTATTTGGAAAATAACTTGCAAGTAAGTGAATTATTTTTCATATAAAGAGTTTTCCTTGCTCAAACTAGCAACTAGTGAATTAGAACAAAAACTCAGAAAATTAATCTTACAATTGAATCACAGTCTTTCTACTTTAATCCCATATATGCATAACAGTAAGTATAAATAAAGTCAGTGTTTGCCTTCTCAATATATGCATCTGGTTTGATGATAAAAAACAGACTCCAATCTATGAAACTCAGGAAAATTTATTAAAACATTTCTTGGAGTCAGAAATAAGTTTTAAGTTGAAAATAAAAGTATACAAAAAAGAATTTAAATGAACAGTTGTAATTATTATAACACAAGTACACAAACATAGTTAAATATGCATATTTTGAATGGTATATTTTAATATTCTTACCAAAAATCATACATATCACAATTTACCATCTATATTAAGCAAGTTGAAACTTAACAGTATTTACACAAGAAAGTAAGTCATATTTACAATGTTTGCTTAGTAGTGATTCAAAATCTAGCTCAATACATTTTCACAATTTCCCATTATCTCTTTTTACACTGAAAAAAAGTTTCAATTAATGAAAGAAACTACAGTGAAAACATTATACAATCTATAGAAACTTGCACAACAGCAGCAATATCCAAAAACAGCAGGAATTCCATGTGAAGTTATTTTAACACTGTAATTTAAATTTTCATCAAACACATTTTTTAATTTTCACTATAGTGAATAAGAGAGGAAAAAAAACAAACAAGAACAGCATAGCTGTTAAACCCAAACTTTCATAAACTGCATTAATTCACTGTTAACCAGAAAATGCTAGCCATACATAAAAGAGAAGTAAAAACTAACACTATTACATTTTTAATATACTTTGTTGAAAAAAATGACAACATTAATTCACTTGGACATCCTTTCTTCATCAAAATATTCTGCACACCAAGAACTTTTAAATACATACATATATAAAAAAAAAGTTAAAAATCAAGGATGGCAAAAAAACAAAAAAAACACATGATAAATGCAAAACTGAAAGTTTATTTCTAAGTAATAATTATTCAACATGTATTTTTTCAGAACAAATCCACTACTTTATTATTTATACAAACTAAAATATACCTTTGATGTTCTTGTTTCAAAATTATGTTGTAATGTAAAATTATTGTAAGTAAGCTTAACCATAGTGTATAATGGATATGATTCTATAAATGATTATATTTAATGGTAGGTTTAAATAAATGAATTTAGGAAAGACACTTTAGTCTTCAAACTATCGAAGTTAACAATTTACTTAGAGCACAAGGATAATTAAGATTATACGGGAGAGTGGAAATATTTTATACTAAAGCAGGGAGATATGAAAAGCATAGGTTTACCTTACAGCTGAAAATATATCATATATCAACCTGAAGTTGAACGATACAAGTATCTGATAACTTAAAATTACTACAGGAAGAAAGAGAATTTACTATCAGCAGGATTCAGACATTATTTCATAGATATTACATAAACCTAAAACTGTGCTTTCTTTCTCACTTCTTTATCATACTTATCCAAGAGAACTTTTTTGTACTGAGTTTGATTTTCCCAGAGCTTCGCAGCTTGAGCATTCAAAGGACTATCAATGTTTGGCTCTGTAAAAAAAATTATAAACAAGAACAATATTTCTAGATCACGATCCTTAATTTACAAATGTATTTACATTTGGTTCTTTATGCACATAAAATATTTATTATAGATTAGACAATTTTATTACCATGCATGTGAGAATTTAGATCCTTTAAGAATTCCATATTTGATTAATTTATAAATATGTGAACATAATATATTACCAACTCTTACTAAGGCTTGTAAGTACTTTTGTTTGAAATAATTAATTTGTTTTTGTCTTTATTTTGATGGAATGTTTGTTTGAAGTTAAGCACAAAGGTACACAATGGGTTATTTCTGCTCTGCCCACAACATGTATCGAAACCCAGTTTCTAGCATTGTAAGTCCACAGACATTTTGCTGTGCCACTAGAGGGGATTTTATTTAGAGGAAAAAAATTAAATTAATTTCAATTTATGTTTCAGCAAATTATATTAATTTCACAATTTGTTAGTAAGCTTAGTTGTAATGTGTATCAAATGACTCCAATTACAAGAAAATTTCAATTTATTTTAAGTTATTAAATAACAAAAAAGCTGTTTCAATTGTAAATTTTTGTTTCTTGAATCCCAAGAAATATATGGAATTATTTATATGAGAGCATAATACGAAAAATTTTCTAACAATAAGTTCCTACAAAATAAGGTGAAAAAGCATTTGTAGTTGTATGTACAATTAAATAAACAGGACAAAATAGTCTATACATATAACATTAACCCTCTAACATTCAGTAGGCTCCAATGTTCTTCATTTTGACCAGTCTTGAAAATCACACTTTAACAAGTGTATCTTCATGAAATTTGAAATGACAAAAACTATAACCTGAGCACTTTCAAAAGGTCAGCCTTTCTTTTTCAAGGGGCAAACTGGGAATGGTGATGTAACTGAATGAGTGATATACAAAGGGAGTTGAGTGATGTCATGAAGGTCACCTGGGCTTCCAGGAAATGTCTCCATTTCTAGTACAAAACAACTGGAAACGAGAGTTTTTTGTAAAAAGGTATCAGAGACATTTTGCTTTAGAAACTGGAAGGTTTCTTTGTTAATTTTTTTTGTTTTGGAGGAGTTCTTTAAGTTTATCATTTATGATCTTAATAAACTAAACTGTAGGATCCTGTGAGTTTCTTATAGAAGTTAGTGTCCTCTAGTTGGTGGTTAGCTTAAATGATATTATGATATTGTTGTTCGATTTAAGATTGTTTAGAGCAGTTATTTCATTTTGGTTAAGATTATTATGACATTGTTTGGAACATTTTAAGGTTTGTATTATGTCCTTTTCTACTGTTTTAATATAACTCTCTAAATGTTCTTCTCTGTTTGGTGGAGGTGTTCATGAAGACTTTTCTTTCAATTTCGGTGTATGTTGGTTTTCAGTAGGATGGAGTTTGTTGTGAAAAAAATTAACAGTCTTAGTTTTTGAGAGAATTCATGCAGGTTAGAAAGATGAGTGGGATCATTAACAAAGTTATTGTTTGAGAAGAAGTTGAGACTTTTACTAGAGAGACTGGGTTCTGCTTTTGAGACAGTTATGTCTCTGAAAGATTAATAATGTTAGAGGTGTGTGGGGAATGGTCTTCATTATCTGTGTGATCTTTGAGGTCACTGTTATTTTTAATGGTTTGTTAGTTTGAGAGATCTTATGTGTATTTTTTTAAGATGTTCATTGTGAGATAAAGGGTTTTTGATAGTTTCTGGTAGAGAGCTTGATGCTATGGTAGTTTCTTCATGATACAGAGTAGGATTGGAAAGAATGCTGTTAGAAGCACTTTTTGAATTGGTGTTATTGGTAAGAGACTGGCTTTTGTTCTTCTTTTTAAGAAAGAATGCATCAGTTTTTTTGGAAATTTTTTAGATCTTTTTCTTCCAGCAAAGTGTTTTATAGGTGATAATAGTGGGAAATTTCTTTATCAAGAATATTGACAGAAACTTTTAGTGATACTCATGAATTCTAAAAGAGATGTTTCCAAATATCTGTTACCAATTGTTGCAGAAATTCTGATCATGTGCTCCTACTGTGACTGGTGCTTTTTATGTGAGAGATGGAGGTATGCTTTGATTTTATGTTATAGACTAACAACTTGACATGTTGATAATGTCTTGTCCATTTCTCATTGAGTTTCCTAAGTTTCTGAAATACTTGTTTTCTGCTGTAGTTGAGTGAATTGCAATTTGGCTTAGGTTGATTGTTGACAGATACTGGTTTCAGGATGTCATTGTAATCATGTGATAAAGGAAAGGGAAGCTCAAGGGACACTTACTGCCTAGCAGTCTTCTTTGCACAATGGATGTTTCTTCCCTCTACACTAACATTCCACATGATGGACTAGAAACTCTGAAGTCCACCTTAACCCTTTCTAACTCATCAGAATCTCAAACAGTAACTGATCTTCCAGGCCTTGTGACCTGTATTAACCCTGAAGAACTTCAAATTCAATTATGTCAATATTTTTCTGTGTCATGTTGAAAGTCAGCTTTTACAACTAAGCCATACTAGGAAATGTTACATGGATGACATATTTTTCATTTGGACAGCCAGTTTTGAATCACTTAAAGAATTTACCACATATGCAAACACCCCTCACAAAACAATCAATTTTACCTTTGATTACTCTCCTACCAAAATTAACTTTATTAATGACAGAATTTTACACACCAACATACCACACTTCCTTCACTATAAAAGCTGCCACCCCACTTACACTAGATGGAACATTACCTACAGTTAAACTTTTAAAATAAAAAAAAAATCTGTTCAGATGAAGCAGAATAAAGAAAACCCACCTAGGACCTAAAAGAAACCATATAACAAAAAAGAATATAAAAATACCAAAATTGACAGACAGATTGAAAAAGCAAACAATACTCAGCAGAAAATAATCCTGAAAAAGAATAATACTAAGTTTAAAACAGTATTCCTCTTGTTGTTACCTAACACTTTAAACTGAGAAATGTTTTGTGCATTCTGAAAAAAACATTTTCATCTCCTACAATTGAATGATCAACTTAACTCTTTCAGCACGGGCTTGGTCCCTGGGGCCGACCTCGTAAACATTTTGTGTTTGTTATACTTTTCATGCTATAACTTTTCAATTAGTAAACAAATGTTAATGAAATTTGGCAGATTATCAGTAAACATTATAATGCTTTCATATGCAAAATATCAAATTTTTGTATTAAGACTTAAAGTTTGTAAAGCAATGTTTTTCTCATGCATTTTTTTTTATTTTCACAAGTTGCCTATCTATCATGCAAAGTAATTCTCATTTTAAGATTAGAAATAGTTTTATGCATCACAAAATGTTCAAATTTCACATGCAAAATCTTTATAATGTCCAGATAGTTATCAAACATTTCTTAAGAAAAAACTTTATTTTTTATCCGTTATTTTCAAGTATTAATCTCTGTACAGGTTCTGTAGACTTGACCGATCTCACAACCACCATAAAAATTAGGAAATAAATATAAGTTATCTCTTTCATTCTAGAATGAACGCAAATTGTAACACAAAAACAAATGTTTAGACTAAATAGCTTAAATCTCATAACATTATACATTTATTATACTGACATTACAGACATGCCTGGCTAACAATACAGAACTTACAATGACAAAGCAAACAATTACTTCTTCTAGTTATGACTTTTGTAATCGGTTGCTAAGCCTTTAAAAATTTTGCATGTGTAAAATATGAAGCTAATTTTTTTAGGTTTTTTATATATAAATTTGAATAACTAAAAATCATAAATTACTACATCAATACCATAGAATTCTACTATAATTTATCAAACTTAATAACAGAGTTGTATTTTAATCTAAAAAAACATGAAATTTTGAGCAGATTAAATACACAATCTATCGCCTTGAAATATTAGTTCAAAAAGAAAGAAATGGCATCCTAAGAATTTAAAATTGCTTAGAAAGCCACTAGGGGGACATTCTGAACTTCTGATTGGTTATTCATGTCATATATAGAAGTAAGAGTATATAAGTGTTTCCGTAAAATGGAAAGAGGTGGGCAGGGTGACACTGTGTTTCATTTATTACATGAGCAATATCTTAGCAAACAGAAAAGATAAGACCTTATTTTATGTTCTAGCTTATCAATATCGGGAATTTGACTTTATAATTCGTATGAAACTATAGACTTAGTATTTTGACTTCACAAACTCCTAATTTGAACAAGTGCTGCATTCAACATGAGAAACAAAAATCAATATTTATCTGTTTTTATAATATTTACTTTTGAATTAAGAAATTGAGTAATGTATAGTACTAAAATTTGAATTATAATATACAGTTTAATACCAAACTTATTGACAAAAGTTCATGAAATAGTGGTTCAATAAAATTTTTAATGCGAGTCAACAAATGAGATGACATGGCCTTTCAATCGTGACCCGTCTCGAAAGGGTTAAACAGATATTTCCTGAAGTTTCTGTTGTCTCCTTCAGGAAAAGCAGAATTCTAAAAGATATCATTGTTCATGCAAAAGTGAATTACATCCCACACATTCAGTTATACCACCATTCACAGTTTGCCCCTGAAGAAGAAAGGTTCACCTTTTGAAAGCACTCAGATTGGAGAGTTTTTATTATTTTATATTAAGACTTCTTGAAACCATGTGTTTTTCTGACATTGTTCACAAAACTTGGTAAGCTTTTAGTAAACATTACAAGTCTGTTGAACACAAAAATCAAAATTTCTATTAAAGTATTTAAAGTAAAAATTTGCATGTGAATTTCCAAAACCTTTACTGAGTTAATCTTAGTCAAGATGATTTTTATGCTAAGAATAAAAATATACTCCTTTTTTACCTTACAGTTTCCATATTTCATTTATGTAACCTATAAAATCTCCTAAATGGATATCAAATGTTTTTTAAGGTAAAAGTTTATATTTTATCTGTTCTTTTCTCTGCTCTAACACCAACTGTAGCTGAATCATCGAGTAAAGTGAAATGAAATTTTGACAGTTATAAAATAAGATGAATATACCTCTTCTTTCAATAGATAATTTGTTGATAAAACTTGAATTTATATTATTGACAATTAACTGTTTACCTTTAGTCCTAGATTTTACAGCTTATTCATCCCTGTACAGCAGTACATCACAGTTGGAAAATACTACTAGATACCCATACTTCCCTACTGTGTGAATGAAGTTCTGCACTCATCACTTAGTGAGCTAAGCTATGTTAAAACTTTCTAAAACCTTCTTCATGAAAAGCAAAAAATCTATGAACCTTTCAAGTATACATTTTAAAACATAAATAATGCACAATTCACTAAAACAGAATGTCCAAAAACAACTATACTTAACTCTTTAACTAAGCTATAAATAGGTTAAAAATGTTGTTAAATACTACGAGCATAAACTTTGCTTACCAACACATCATAAAATCAAGACCTATAGTCTAATGTTTATTGTAGCCAATTTCAAAGAACCATTGCAAGATTAAAATTGAAAATAGGCTTTTTCTATTGATTATAACCATGTATGCCAAGTAAGATTATGTGGTTTTGAAAACTTCCTTGACAGTTAAGGGTAGATAGGTGGGACTTGCATCTTGATATCTCATTAAATAGAAACATTTGGGCACCGTAAGTGTGCATTGGATGTTGGAAATATTTATGGTTTGTATCTACATAACTCAGACAGTATAGATGCATTACTGTTGAAGTTATACAAGCTAAAAGAAGAGAATTCAGAACATTGACACATCACATGACATAGAGAAGTGAACTTTGAGAATTAAAAATATATATATATTCTTTTGAAAGTAGTTAAAATTTATATAATATAAAATTTAAATTACAAACAGCACTCTGATGCAAATCTTAATGACACACATTGATACTATGTTGTTTCACTACATTTTGAGGTAACTTTGTGACTGTAAAATGTTGTAACACATGCAGGACAGTGTTTAACTCTTTGACTATAGGGCTAAGTGCATTGTACCTACTACAACTTTGAAAGTGTATTTGTACCTTTGTTAACTTAAAGAAAACAAATCTCATTTCAGATCATCATATTGCTTTTATCAGCATTCTTCAATCTCTGGAATGGTTATAATGGCTTTACCTGCATAAGTGTTTTAGGAAGCCTTATAGGATTATGTAGTTCAAAATGAGTGCTTTTATTTGGTTATAAAAATGTACTTAAGAGAAGTAGGCATAGGTAAGCAAGTATTTTCAAACAAGGAAGAGGTGGACGGAGCCACTGTAGTGGGTTCGCTAAATATAATATCTCAGCAATAAGAAAATGAGGAACTCTTATTTTATATTCTAGCTTGTAAATATTGGCAACTTGAGTTTCTAATTTAATAAGAGAGGTATTCAAAATGCAAGCTATATATGATGAATACTCAGCACTATATGCTCATTCTGAAATTTGGTTGTTATGCTTCAAGCAATTATCATCTATTGACATATATATTTAAAAAAAAACTTTCAGCTTTATAACTTTCAATCCTATTCTTAAAGAATGAATAATAATTTTTTCTACCTTTTTTTTTTGACTTCAAGATTTTCACTGGCAGGGATTGGCTAGATTCAGTACATTCTGTCTAGCCAGTTCAATCTACAAAGATTGCATATTTTTAAGCTGTTAACTAAAACATATATTCATAATAGGTTCATATTCATTCACACGTGTCCTTCATATATCATCCAGATACAAATACAAGACAGTAAGGCTTGTCTCTTAATGCAATACCTCTTATTACTGCTTCGGGAAATCCTCCTTTTGCGGTCTACCAAAAATGGCAAGCAGACTGGAGAATCAGTAATACTGAACAGTAAATCAGACTATGCACTAAATTATTCTTTTGTTAAACACGAATAAAAAACAGTCAGGTGGAGGTTATTTTACTGTCTGTAACATACACATCTATAAAACAGAAAGATCATTAATACTGCATATGATAAGCTTAGAAGGTAGGGCTATTGCTTTCTCTGTAATACACTAACCTCCAAGTAGAGATTGAAGAGATAGCAGTACTGTCCTAACATCGTATAATGCTGTCCACTTCTCTTTCAGAATATCAAGACAAATGTTGCCTTGTGCATCAACATTGGGATGAAAGCAAGGGGTGTCAAACTTGATGGTGGGAGCTGTGTACGGGTAGCTACTGGGGAACTCTAGTACAAGTTTGTACATTAAACCTTCATACACCTGTATAACAAGAAACAAGAAAATTTACTCAGTCATCAACAACAGCACTAAATAAGCTCTAAGAAAAACAATGTTTAACATGTGTAACAATTTATTAAATAATGTGCAGTCAATGTATTTTTGAACATTCACAAATATTTTGCTAAAATAATTGTCCTAAGTTTAAATTCTCTAACTCCACATTCTTATCTTCCAATTCATAAATAACAACTTACCACACTAGTGGGTATAATTGTTACATTAAAAAAAGTACATAATACAAAGAATGTACTACAAAAATAATAATAACAATAAAGTGCAGAATTTCATTGTATGAACCACATTTTTTGTTTTTGTTTAAAACATTTCTTTCCTCGGGGTTGTTTTGTGTTGAAAATAAGTAAATAAATGCAGCCACAATCAAATTAAAATAGTAGTGTTCCCTCTATTGTGACTTAGCCAAGCTGATTTCCTAGTTTTTCACAACTTCATTTAAAAAAAAACATGCAAATATTTGCTGAAGTCAACCAAATTCTGATTTAAGTTTTCTCACTTAAGTAAACAAAGTACTCAATCTTTAATTGGAAAAAAAATTCTTATACATATATATTTAAATACATTTTTTATTAATTCATTTGATTGATTTCATTTTGTACGAGCAACTCTTATACTTAAAAATATAAAGTGAAGATATATGTTGTACTAATTGAAGTTTAAAAGGTGTCTATAATATATATATATATATAAAAAATCATACTTTTAGTTCTTTCTTCTTTACACAAACACACAGTTTAGTGATGTCATTATTTAATACAGTTTAACAATATAAAAACTAGGATATAATACTAAGGTTGACCGTCAAGAAAACAATTGGTCTTTTGTCTTAAGAAGTTACATTTTAAATCACTGAATTAACCTGTATGGTCATATTTTTCTTTGTAATGATAGCACACAAAATATATTAAGCTAATACATTTACTACTGCTTATAAAATGTATTATTTTTTACTTAGTGTTAAGCTTATGCTCTTGAACTTAATTAAAATTCAAAATTCCTGTATAATGTAGAACATATTGAAAGAAAATACTTACATTTTATAGATTTAAGAAAATTTTAAAAGCAAAACAGTAGGAAAAATATAAAATTTTACTTATATAATCACTAATTTGAGAAAAAAAAAAGTTCTTGTCAATGATCATGCCACATATTCTAATCAGGATTTGTCATTACTGTTCTATTCAAAAGTTCTGAAATAGTGCCACTGGTAGTTGGTTCCACACTAGAGCTAGACAATCAGTTGATTACCTATGAACATTGAGTAGTGTTACATAAAATAATTGATTAACCCTTTCGCAACAGGCTCGGTATAATATACACAAGTTAAGTATTTATACTATAACTTTTAATACAGTAAGTTTATCTTCACAGAATTTGGTACTTTTAGTAAAGATTACAAGTCTTTCATATACAAAAAATCAATTTTTTAATGAAGTATTTTTATTATAGACTTGTTTGTGAATATATCAAGTCTGTTTCATTACCAGTCCAAGTGCGAAGTGATTTTCATGTTACAACTAAAAAACTATTGTTCGTCCCAAAAATCTCAAATATTATTTGTGTAATCTCTAAAACTTCCTAAGTACATTTCAGACAATTGTTTTCAGTAAAATTTTATATATATTTTTTTGTTATATTCTGTACCCTAACTCTATGGGGTCTGTCAATTTGACCAGTCTCTAAACCACCACAAAAAATTAAGAAATAAATTTAAATTATGCTTTTTTTGTTCTAGAATGACTACAGATTATAACATGAAAACACAAATGTTTAGTCTAAATAGTTTAAATCTCATAACATTACACATTTATATATCTTTTTATTATATTGACCTTTCAACCATGCCTGGCTAACAATACAGAAGTTACAATGACATGGCTCATGTGTACTCATATTACCATATCAAATAACATAAAACTGACCTTTGGTCTTACAAAATGACCTGTCTTGGCTGTATTTTAGTGGACTAGTATTTTGTAAAATACAGTCACATTTAAATTATTATTCATTATATATGTATATACATAAATACTATTTAAAAATAAGTTATTAAACTTATTTTTCTTAAAACATAGAACAG